TACTTTGAGAATTCTAATTATATAAATATAAGTTTCTTGGTTTTGACAATGAAGTATTATGACTGATCTGTAAATTCTTTCTTCATTTTTATTTTGGACAATTTTTATTGTTATATTCATTTATGTTTGTAAATAATTTATTTTCAATTTGCAATCTATTAAAAACTTAAAAGAAAGAACAATAATGCTGTAGTTTTACCCAGAAGTTATCTTCCTTGTCCACTTTTTCAAAACCAAAAGTCTTTCAGGCATTTCCTTGAAGTGCGTAACTGCCGGGAGCATGACCCTTTTGCCAGCTCTTGATGGTTTGAGGATGCCGGGACAAGGACAAATGTCTTCACGCAGCAAGTCTGAGTGCTCTGCAGATGTTCCATGGGAAACAGGTGGGCCTGCATCAGACGACAGCTTCCAAGAGCTAAAAGGCACCAAGTAAAGAAACAACACTGCGTTTCCAGAAACACTTTCAAGGGGTGAATAACTCACGAAGTATGACAAATTAGGTGGCTCCACATTCCAGCTCACTGGGTTCCTTGGATTATCAATTTACTTGTTTATGGTAGTACCAGAAAGTTGTACATTTAGTCCTCCATCCATCCACCCATCCACCCATCCACCCACCAACCCACCTATCCATCCATCCATCCATCCATCCAATTACTCACCCATACATACATCTGTCTATCCATCCATGTACCCACCCATCCACCCACCAACCCAAGCATTCATCCATCCTTCCATCCATGCATCCATCCACCCATCTACCCACTGACCCATCCACCCACCCACCCATCCACCCACTGATCCATCCATCCATGCATCCATCCACCCATCTACCCACTGATCCACCCACCCACCCATCCACCTACTGATCCATCCATCCATCCACCCATCCACCCATCCCTTTACCCACCAGCCCACCCATCCATCCAGCCAACTACCCACCCATACCTCCATCTGTCCTTCTATCCACCCACCCATACACCCACCCATCTACCTGCCAACCCAAGGATCCATCCATCTATCTATCCATCCATCTAAGTATCCATCCAGGGCCAGGGAGATGGCTCAGTGGAATAAGCACTTCCCTGGCAAGTGCAAGGGCCTGAGTTCAATCCCTGGTTCTAAAAAAAAAAAAAAAAAAAAAAAAAGTATGTATCCATCCATCCATCTATTCATCCAACTACCCATCCATCCACCCACCCACCCATCCACATATCCATCCACCCATCCATCCACTGACCCATCCACCCATCCATCTATCCACCCATCCCTTCGCCTGCCAACCCAACCATCCATCCATCAGTCGGTCAATCCATCTCCATTTATGAGTCTATTCACATAACTGCTAGGAGCAGAGACCATAAGTTAGACACTAAAATCCTTCCATGAGGCCTGTCTGAATGGAGCTGTGACCAAGTGAGTACTCTAAAGTCTGTGATTTGAGGTAAGGTCATGGACCAGCCATACCATTTGGTGACATAGAATCTACTAATCAAAATTGGCATTCCCAGCCTCTCCAAATACCTTGCATGCCTGCGAAGATGGAGGAATGCTAATCTAAATCCTGGCAGATAGATAGTTATGTGTGAGCCTGTTGACTAGAGAGGGTGTTACAGAAGACTGGGCTCACAGTACCCTAGATGCAAGCAGATACAGCAGGAAGCTGGGTGAAATGCAATGGACAGGAGATGGGAGCTTGGGGGAGCACCCTAAGTTTGAATATGGTTCTCCCCCTCTTAAGCACATGTTGAAGTTTGCCACTGTGATAAAACAGAAAGGAAAGGTAAAGCCTGCTGCCAAAGGGTGGAATGTGGTGGCTTGCAGGAGGTCAGCTCCTTCTACCGTGGATGGGAGGTCATTTTTCCCAGCCTAATTTCTCCCATAGGAAATGGGACATGTGCACAAGAAAACCGACCCGTGACTAGAACTTGACTTCTGGAGCCCGTTGTGGGTGTCAGGCAGAGTTGGAAGGAGACCAGGCTCTGCTGCCTCACCTTCCTTCTTTGTGTCCCCTCATCCATACCCCATGGGACTCCTCCTAATGAACACTTCCTGGCGGAGAGCAAGGAGCTGACTGGCTCTTCTCTGGAAAGAGCCAGGTCTCTGGAAACCAGGTCTGTTCTACCCTGTGGGTGAGGGCGGGGTGTGCATGCCCTCCAGGAAGGGCCAGCAAGGCTCAAGGGAACATGTGGTGAGTTGTTAGTGGGCACCTCTGCCAAAACAGCCTGCAGTAGAGCAGGACAGTGGGAGCCACAAACCCAGGGAAGGCTCCCTCTCTGTGCCCCAGGCACCTGTCCCCTTGGCCCTCTGCACACCTGCCACTGGCCTGACACCTTCCATGCCTGTCTCCCTCGCCTGCCGCCTCTCATTCCTGTTAGCATCCTTCCAGCTCCACTGTGCCGAGCACCAGCTGTGTGCCAGGCTCTTACAAGGAGGCGTGGGGACAGAAGACCACTTAGATGTAGATCTTGTCTCGAGGACAGTGCTGCCTCCAGAGGAGGGGTAGGGAAGTCCTGCTGTGTCGCCATGCAGCAGCCTCTGAGGTGCTAGAACACCAGTGAAGTTCCGTGCA